TAAGGAAAAAGATAAAAAAGAAGAAACAGCATCATCAAGACGTCGACGAGGTTGGGATGATAGCGATAAAAAAGAAGAAACCACTAGTGAAAAAGAAACTGAAAAAACGAAAGATAAAGATGAAACTGAAACAAAAAAAGCTGATGAAGATACAAAAGCATCTGAGAAACCAAGTGGACGTCGACGTGGGGCTAATTGGTGATTACTTTATTTTATGGCATTTAATAACAGTATATGTGTGTTTGAGTGTGCTTTATGTGGTTGTAAATAAGAAAAAGAATATAATTTCTTCTTCTTCTTCTTCTTCTTTTTATTGTGTTACTATTTCCTTTTTTAATAAAGTCATATTGATTAAATCCAAACTATTTATTTGTATCATTTTCGTTATATCATTATTTGAATATTTTGTTAGAATACTTTCATGTTTAATTGGATGTAAAATATACCTACCATGTCGAAGATGATGTAAGATTTTTCTATCATTCATAGTATTCGAAACGAAATAAATCAAACTATTATTATTACTATAAGTTTCTATCGATAATTTTCTATTCTAGCAATTGTTCCCATGATAAATTCTTGATAACGAAAATCTTTATTGATTTCATATTTTAATCTATTTCTATGTATCAATTGCATATAACGATAATGATGTTCAAGAAGACGTCGAGACCAACGAACAAGTGGACTAAACGTACCATGCCAAGATTCATATGGAAAAATATCTGACTCTGCATGGGGCCATAATGACCATTGAGAATTTCTTGATATAATTCTATTGCATAAAAGATCAGTTCTATCGTTAATAAAACGATCAAATAGGTAAGTCATGTGTTGTACATCAAACCATTGAACATCATGTTCTATTATCCATACATTTTCAAAATTAATTCGATGATACAACCACACAATAGCACGATCCCATGATGTATATTTAACATTTGATAATTTTTTCGTATATTTAACATCAAATTTTTCTAAATGTTGATTTTTAACGTATAAAAATCGATGTGAATACGAACGTATACTTCTACTAGTACGTGATTCAAAACTATCTTCTCGTTTTGATGAATCAATAGGAAAAACTTCATTTAACATAATATAAACATCAACACCAGAACAAAGTAATGTACGAAAATTTATCCATACATAAGATACAAGTTTCGAAGCAATAATAACAACTAAATGTTGACGATTTGCTATAAAGAATTGGATTTCTGATGGACAGATGAAAGGCATATCATCATCATCAAATAAATCGAAATCATTAACATAGTCATTGGTAATTTTTACATCTGAACTTATTGAACGATTTAGATATATGAAGTAAAATGAACAAATAATAAAAATAATAAATAAATATATACGATAACGATGTGGAATGTAACGAACAAGATTATATATTTTCATTGCTTATTACCCTTGTATTCATCAATGATCAGACAAAATAAATATATTTTTTTTTGTTCGTTCTTTTTTTTGTCACGCGTGTATAATTTTATTTATATATCAGTAATTTGTCCTTTTAGCTATTCTATAAAATGAGTCATAGACATATCAACTGAAAAAAAAGGAAAATTCGATGGGAAAATCGACAACACTATTCATTCACGCGCTCACCAGGAGCAAGATGAACCATGCATATATATACGATGAATACAATCTATATTTGTTCAATTAGATTGTTACAAGACAGAAAAAGGAATTCAACACTTTTTCTTCTATCAATGATGGGAACATTGCATACTAAGTTTTTTTCTCCCTCTTTTTCGAACAAAATCACACCATTTGGAAGATCTGTTACGTAAGAGTAACACACTAGATATTTATATGTATAGATATACGCTAGAACAGTTAACATATACTGTAAATGAAGTGCTAGTGGTACGCATATACATATCGTTCTGTAATAAGGATGATGAGTGGGCATTTATCAATGTTACATATTCAATAAGGAAACAAGTCAATAAGGCATGAATGATTTGAGTGGATGATGAACAAGCTGTGAAATTCTGATGATGCTATTGTCATCATAAGATTCATGTAATCACGAATTAGAACATTATTTTCAGTGAATTGAAAACAAAAATCAGAAATTAAAGTTTTTTGATAATAAAATATAGATGAAAATAAATTTAGAAACGCACTTCATTCATTTATCTTAATGTATGATAAAATAAACGATGAATAAGAATTAATTCTTGATCATTGAACAAACTGTTTAGTTCACTTTTTATCGGTATCACCTCTGATAACCAACCAAGTTATATAAATGACAACCACCCAGTGAGTGCAAATGGAAAAGTCGCACAAATCTTAACTGTGAAGAGTTTCATCTTTTGCTATTCGAGTTTTATATAAACGATAGTTTAATTTTAAGAATAAAAATTACAATTTTAAGTTCGAGTATTACTGATATTTTCTTCTTGTTTTGACGCCATCAAGCATGTCAAATTATATCTGTTGGATTGTTTCATTTCCGTCTCGCCAATCATCGGCGCAGGGGACATCTTCAAACAGAAATAATAAAAAAAATAAATTTTTCAATGTTCCCTTTTTTTTTCGTTCGTTCTATTTCAGTCTATACATATTTCGCATAGACCAATCATTGGCGTCAACCACCTAGTGAGCATACAATAGAGAAAGAGAGAGAGAGAGAGAGAGAGAGGGAGGGAAGAAGAGAAGGGGAGAGAGAGAAGATTTAAAACGAAAAGAAATATAGTCAACCATCCCACCATTTTGTGACTAGAGACAAATTGTGCATTCTCACAAATAGACAAACGCCTACACACTGATACACGCACGCAACAAGATGTTTCCAAATCATTATTCACCATCGAATCCATACGGTGATTTTTCATCATATAATACAACTACATCATCATCATCATCTTCTTCATCATCAAATATAGCTAGTCTTGGTGGTTCTTCATCTCCATCTCATTATCAACAACACCAACATATGTTTTCAACAACACATTTTTCAAATGATAAACTTCAATCATCACCACCAACTGGTTATCCAGCATTTGCTATGCATGGTCTAAATATGAATGTTAATGTTACTATGAGTCCTGTTTATGTACCAACTAATAATCTTTCAATTCCTCAATCATCACCATCAGCTCCAATGAAATCATTTTATTCATCGGATGAAAATGGTACTAATGCATTGGAAGGTAAGTAATCAAGATTATTTCCAACTGTGTTTGTGAGTGTGTGTCAATGAAAATTATCGTTTGTAAATGAAGTGTTAAAGTATAATCCGTATGACTACTGATAACAGAAGAATGAGAAGAAGAAGAAGAAATAAAATATGATTGATATCGATTAATGTTTAAAAGATAAGCAGAAAATTTTCTGTAGTAATACTACTTTTCTAGAACTTGAGCATTTTATTAATTATTGAAATAACGAAACGATTTGATCTATTATCTTTCGAAAAGAAAAAACTTTAATCTATTCATTGATCTTCTGTCTATCAACTTTTTTTTTTTCTTCTTCAAGATCGATCGATAATGATCGATGACATACATAGCGAGTCAATTTATTTTATTCGATCGAAATGTCCTCTAAACAAAATATTTTATTTTTGTCTTTTTCATCTTATATTTTGTTATTTTAATAGAAAAATCTATTAATTTGGCTGCATTAAATGGTAATGAAAGTCTTCAACCACCGCCACCACCAACACTTGCATTACCTAACATGAAAACAAAAGGAAAGAAAATTCGTAAACCACGAACAATCTATAATCCACTTCAATTACAAGCACTCAATAAACGTTTTCATCGTACTCAATATTTAGCATTGCCTGAGCGAGCTGAATTAGCAGCTATGCTTGCTCTAACACAAACTCAGGTGAGTTTTATATATGTTTTATTTGACACATTGAAGGTCATATGTATAGCCTAAAGCATGACATATTTTATTGTCTTTTTTGCTTACTTCTCTAAGCATAAAAATGATAAATTGAAGATCATCATTCATGATGTCCATCTTCGAACAAATGTCTACATCCCTCCGTATAATATAGAACACGACGAGAAAAACATAATGACATTGATTTTTATGACTGACTTGCGCAATTATATTTGCTGATAGTTTCGTCGCAGAAAACGAGTCACGACAAAAAATATGTAGAAGAAGAAGAAGAAGAAGAAGGAGGCGGGATGCATTATCGGCAAACTCAAATTGTATGTATATATAAATTCAAAGATGCATCAGCGGGGAGCTCAGCATTGCGTGAACAATCGAAAGACGAGGGCAAATGGTCGGCATGTTTGAAGCAAAAAAACGAGAGAAAAAAAAAGTTCTTATCTGAAAAGACAACGCCCACTGTGGATACTACGAAATAAGATCATATTCATTCATGTGTAGAACATTTTTGAAGTCAAATCATTTTGACATTTTATCTAAAATAGTTCTTCTTTTGTTTCATTCACCTATATATATATACATACATATAAAGAACTGAATAAAATCCACTGAAACTTCCGTATTTCATTTTTTTTTATTATAGAATACCTCACTGATTTCTATATGTTTCACAGTAGGAAAGAAAAAGTATAATGGGCGTTTCTTCTTAAATACAAAGACATTTTTCTCTTTATACACAAATCACGCACGCATTGATGCTTTGTTCCCTTTTTTTCTCGCTTTATGCTCACAAGACAACCTGTTATTAGAAATACACATTGTGAAAGAATATGGACAGGTAAAAAGATGTATATTGATGTGATGGTCAGTATGAAGCCTGCGGGTATATTCGATTGTAAGATCTATGTGTGACATCTCTCCTCCCTTTGCCTCCCATACATACATATACATACTACATTGATGGGACAAGGACAATACATGATGACCGATACGCCCTTCACACAAAATATAGTCGATAGAGATACACACATCAAAAAAACTATCTATGTAGAAAAGAAATGCTTGACTAAATCGATGAGTGATGATAAATAGAAGTTATGGTTATTTTTTTATTTTGTGTTGATATTTGATTAAGATGATTAACTAAAATAATTCATTTGTATTTTTCTGTTTTAGGTTAAAATATGGTTTCAAGTAAGTTTAATAGTTTTTAATGATAATATAGTATAATAATTTTTCTTTCAACTTTTTAGAATAAACGTTCAAAAGAAAAAAAATCGAATAGACAAGGTAATCGTACTCGTCCATCAAATGATAATGATTTAAGTTGTAATGGTGAAGAAATCTATTCTGATGATGAAACAAGTTCAACGTCAACTAATAATAATGATTCATCTTTACATGCAACACAATCTTTAGCACCAGCATGTGAAAGTAAAGATGTTGATGTGACTACAACTAATCAAACAACAATCAAATCATCACCGAATATCTATGAACAGTCTTCACCACCTTCTCTCACATCATCTGCTATGATGTCAACAATAACACCTTATCCAACAAATGATTTTCTTCGTTCAAGTTCAATGCATTTTGATTATGGATCAATGAATGGTTTTTGGCCACCATATCTCTATGATACAAATAATAATAATACTAATGGTTATTATCAACAACATCCAGCAACGATTCACAGTTAATAAACCCTAAACATTTAAGTGTTGTATCATTATCCGACTTGTATATCGATTTACTTTTGCTTTGAAAATAAAATAAAAAAAAGTTGTACGAAATGCTGAAAAAATAATATAGACATTTTTTTTCATGTTTTATTCTTATCGAAAAAAAAACAAGTAGATTCGATTTATTTTATGGACAACCATAATATGCTTTAAGTTTTTTAATATCTTGAGCACTCATCTTATCACCACGACCCATATAAGATTCCCAATTCTCATAACCAGCAAGAATAGGTTTAATTGTAGGACGACCATTACTTGAAAAAGCATCACTTCGATAATGCATGATTGAACCTTAAATAAAAATCATAAATATTTATTGTCAATAACAAAAATA